ATCAGAACCCAACATGGCAGATGTGCATACTCTTTACACAAATGGGGCAAGCAACCATCTCCTCTTGCTGAATGTGGAGAAACCCAGACCATCAGACATATCAAATAAAATTGTACCATAAGATCGTATAACGGTGGACCTGAGGACTTCCTGATAGCGACCCCAGTGTCGATAGATTACATAAATAGCCTAGATGTCCGTTTGTAGCCTTTTAAAGTGCATTTTATACTATTATGTATCCTGTATTGTATTGAATTCTGTATTCTGAAACTGTTTTATGGCTGCGTTTTTTGATGTGTCATGACCATACGATAAATGACCATACTATACGAAAAATAAATAATAGCTTTATAGCAAGTGATTTTTTGCAAACAATGTTGGTTATGTATTTTAATCTTCTAAACTCAAAATGAAGTAAAAAAGCGTGCTCGGATTATGAGTTTTACGGAAAAATCGATTAAGCCCTGAAAAACGTGATTTTTTGTAACCTACGCGTAGGAGGCTACACTGAGTGGCGTTGCACGGTCGAAAAATCGAAGCGTTTTCGAATTTTTGTCACTTTGTTATATGTGTGTCGGTGTAAGCTTTAGAGAAGGTGTTAATGTTAACTTGCGTATATAATCCTGTATTATTAGAATAACTTGCTCCGCATACATTTCATGTATTTTGTGGTCAAATAAAGAAATCTAATCTATCGCTCTTAAAGTAAAGTGTCTGCCATTTGAAATTTTAAGAAATATCAGTAAATCCAATACAAATCAGGAGTCAATTCATAAAAATAAATGGAACTACCGAGTAACAGGAAGAAAATACGGAGGACTCGGATAAAACCAAAAACTGGAATAAAGCAATTAATATCGCGAATATTCCTGATATGATCACGCTTATGCAGTTGCATTGCTTATGCACAAAAATTCGCTTATACACAAATTGGAAAATGACGGCAAAAACGGCCCAAATTCCTGCTATACTGCAGAAACGCTATATAGATACCTTATCTGGCTAGTCATAGCAATGTTTCATAAAGACCAGTTTTTATGATTATAAGCACAACACGTAGGAGGTAGTTTATTCAACGCTAGTCTTATTGCGATGTAGGTTTGATGCTTCCCTTATGCCAGAGCACGTTCTTTTATGGAGGATACTCTTCTAGACGAGCCGGTAGGCCCACAAAAGGCTCGTTTCTTTTGTTAAATGTATCATGCATAATTTAATAATTTTTTCCTGGAAGCAGCACGGTGTCTATTTTTTAAGCCTCCACCTTAATGGTTTATCAAAGATGCATACCGAATTGGGCAGAATGTTACCTGTACCACAAATAAAACTGAATTGGAGGTTGGCGCAGGGAACTGAATTAGATTTAAGATTGTTTTCCAGTCACTTTAATCAACCTTAAATTGTGAGGAAGCTTAGTAATGTTTCTACTACTAAGGAAGAATCTCAATAAAACCCTCTGAGAATTTTATACTTTCAACCTTTTAACATTGTCAGTTGTTTGAGAAAGTTTGCTAATCTGCTGGACTTACTGTATAAGTTACCAACTTCCGAAGTAACATTGTCGAATAATACGCCTATAGCATATACATAAATTACCATAAATCAATAATTTGCGATGGTATAACTGAAGTTGGCGGTTCGAGATAATTTTCCAGCTCTTGTTTTGGGTGATATTCCATTATTTATCCAAACCATTAATAAACAATTTATTAATTTTCATTCATTAAGTAAGTGATATGACGAACTGTACGGACGTGTGTTTGAGCGCCTCTCGTTGTTTTATTTCTAAAGAGGTGATGTCTGTAAAGGTGAACCTTCGGGGATCTCGCATCGAAAAATCAAACTTGCCGTGCAGAGCATGTCTTCTGGAATTCGAATTTACTACTAACCGGGAAAGGATCAGAAAGGGAAGTCGCCAAGAGAATTTGAATTTCAATGAAAATGTAATTGAATTAATTCAACTATTATTAAAAGGCCTAGTAAGCACCACTAAAAAATTGAAGGTTAGATGCAGAACAAATAAAAATTATTGGTATCTATTATTTTATAGATACCAATATATACAGGGTGATTCAAAATTGGCGTCATTCCTCTGGGGGTGTTGTCTGGCGGTGTTATAGGAGTACAGAAAAACTAGTAAAATAAATGAATTGTTATTAAAAACTGAGAAATTTGCAAAAAACTATATCAGAAATACGGCAGCAATGTTTTTCAAGGTAATCTGCCTAACTAACATTGCGCAAATACCTGTTGCTTCGTAATTATTTAAAATTCCGGTAATCATGAATAAATAGAGAGTGACAATAAGAACGGTAAATTCAACAAGATTTGTTGACGAAATGTCAACCTGTTCTCATAACCTCGAATATTGGTGTTTAAAAATAAACCATACAACACCAAACA